GCTGCACAGGAGCTTCGCTGGCTCACCTACCTGCTGACTGACCTTGGAGAGCCGCCTCGTTCTCCTCCAGTGCTGTACGTAGACAACAAGGCTATGCTGGCCTTGTGTCGAGAGCAGCGCTTGGAGCACAGAACGAAGCACATTGCTCTCCGCTACTTCCTTGCTCGTGAGCTGCAGCAGCGTGGTCAGTTGCGACTTGCGTACGTGGCCTCTGAGGCCAACACTGCTGATGTGTTCACCAAGGCACTTGCGCCTTGTGACCATCAGCGCTTCTGCACCCAGCTGGGTCTTGTGCCTGTCTTGCCTCACTTGCTCTCCTCTTGACTTCACTTGTACTGTGACATATATATATACCTGCTCTTGCTTGTCTAGCTTTATATATATGTCTGTACTCTTGCTTGTGAACTGGCCTTTGGCCTTGCTCTTGTGCTCGGACTGTGTGGTGACTTTGTGATCCACCCTGAGCTTTGCTTTGTCTTGCTTGACTGGTCTTGTGACCCCTTGTTCTCCCCCACTTTGCCTATGGGGGTGTGTCAGAACATATCTATAGCTTATACTGCTGTGTAGGCTGTAGTGGGGTATCCCATAGGGGGTACAACCCAGTTAGGGTTTCATATTTGTACTGCTTTCATTCATAGTTCATTTATTCCTGTTTTCCTATTTTCACATACTGCTCCCACAGCGATGTCACTTGCGTCAGTGACGAGCTCGAACGGACGGTGTGGATCTGCGATGTGAAGCACGGGCGATGAGCACAAAATGTTTTTGAGGGCCGAGAAGGCAGCTTGCTCTTTCTCCCCCCACGTGTACTCAACCCCCTTCCTCAGCAGGTCGGTCAACGGGGCAGTCAGCTTCGCCATGTCGGGGACAAACCGGCGCACGTAGTTGACGAACCCCAGGAAACTCTGCAACTCGGTCAAGTTGGTCGGCGCGTGCCAAGCCTGAATCGTCGCAATTTTCTTCGGGTCTATTTCCACTCCTGCAGCTGAAATAACGTGTCCCAAAAACTCCAGGCGGTCCTGTAAAAATTCACACTTAGATGCTTTGGTCAGTAGGCGGTTCTCACTCAGGATTTTAAAAACTGCTTCGATGTCCTGTAAGTGCTGTGCTCTGTCAGGGCTGTAAATCAGTATGTCGTCCAGATAAACGATGACGCACTTATCTAAAAGTGGGCGGAATGCTTCGTTCATGGTCATTTGGAAAGTGGCGGGGGCGTTGGTCAGCCCAAATGGCATGACAGTGTATTCGAAAGATCCGTAGCATGTTCGGAATGCGATTTTAGGACAGTCGGGTGGGTTGACGCGGATTTGGTGGTAGCCTCCCCGGAGGTCAATTTTCGAGAAAACCCGGGCTGTGCGCAGTTGGTCGATCAGTTCGTCGGCTCGTGGGATGGGGTAACGAGATTTGATGGTAACCCTGTTCAGTGCTCTGTAGTCTATGCACATGCGAAATCCCCCGTCCCTTTTCGGTGTGAACAGTATTGGTGCGGCGAAGGGCGACGAGCTAGGGCGAATGAATTCTTTCTCGAGCAGGTAATCGAGCTGCTTCCTTAGTTCGTCTAGTTCGGGTTGGGTCAGGCGGAACTGTCGCTGTACTGTTGGCTGTGCCCCCGGTTCCAGTTCTATCCTGTGATCGTGCGGTCGCTGAGGTGGCAGTCCCGTCGGTAAGTCATCCGGGAAAATGTCACTGTATCGTGTTAACAGTGCTGCCAGATCACTCGGTACGTCGGTCAGCAATTTCTGTAAATCCCCTCCCTTGTCTGCTGCCTCGGCTTCCCGAATGTCAACCGCGTACACGTCAGCTCCGGCCGCTACAGCGCGTTTCATCGTGATCGCATTGACACGCACCGACGAAGACTCAGGCGAGCCCCAGCGAGGTAAGGCGATGTTGTTACCGTTCACTCGCACGGTGCAGTCACCCGTCGTCCAGTCGATTCGCAGATTGTGTCGTCGCAGCCAATCACGCCCGAGTAAAATGTCGGTTCCGTCGAGGGTCGTTGCGAGCATTTCCTGGCTGAATGTGAAGTTACCCCCGCATCGAATCCGAACTCGGTCTACGCGTTCCCGTATTGCCAGCGGCGTGCCGTCTACCAGTCGTGCGTCGATCTCAGGTAAGCATCTGTCCAGTGGCAGTCGCAGTTTTCGTGCCGTAGCAGTGTTAATGAGGCTGTGGCTGGCTCCCCCGTCTACGAAGATTTTAACTAAGTCCGTCCCAATTTTCCCACTGAGCAGTATAGGGCTGTCTACCGTGGTACCCTCCTTATTCGGCCGGGTGTGGTCGATTGCGTGAACCGGCACAATCAATCGGTGAGGGTCGGTTGGGTCGGGCGAGCGGCGTGACCTGTCAGTAGAGGGCCCGTCTGCTACTGACTTCCAGCGTTTCCCTGCTGCTTGGTCTGTGTCTGCTGCTCAGCTTCCCCCTTTCCCTTAGCGTTTTCCGGGCATTCGCTCTTGCGATGTCCCGGCCAATTGCACGCAAAGCAGCGCCCTTTGAACGGTGCGGCAGCGGCATTTGCGGCGACGGCGCGTATCGTGGCGCTCTCGTTCGTCCCACGAGGCCGATGTCCCCAGTTGTTGTTTCCGTAGGACCCCGGTCTCGGTCGGCGAAAAAAGTCGAGCTTCTCCGCCATAGCGAGAATTTCCTGAAATTCGGTGACGCCGCGAAGCTGGATTTCCTGAGCGATGTCCTGCTTCAGGCCGCCGATGTAGCGGTCGATGCGCTCGCTCTCATGCATGTAGCCCACCTGTTCGCATAGCGCCAGAAATCCGCTCGTGTAGTCCTGGACGGAACCGAGTTGGCGCCAAGTGCGGAGCTTCTGTCGTGCCGCGATCGAAGCCGCAATTGGCTCAAATCGAGCGCGCAGACCTGCGCACCACGCATCCCACGTGCGATACTGGGGCACCTCCACGAAATACGACGGCGCCCAGGGTCCGGTTTGTCCTTCCCGTGTCGGCAGTGTCGCGTAGTCTGTCGGCTTCGTGACGATGACGCGCCACCAGTCCATGGCGGGTCCTCGCAACAGCGACACGGCGTATCGAATCTTCGCCGAGTCCTCCGAGACGTAGTTGGCGTCGAAGAAGACATTCATCGTGAACAACCACGCCTGAACGGTAGGACCACCCCGTTGACTCGGGTCAAAACATGGCGGGCGCTGCGGCTTCAGCGGCCTCGGTGACGGCAGTCCCGAATCGTGGGTTGGTGCCGAAATCGTGACGCGAGGCTGACTTGGGGCCGCGTGCGTCGCTCCGGGGTGTGTCGTGCCGTGGTCATCGTCCCCGTCGGGGCGGACGACGCCATCACTGGCCGCGCTCGCGGGTTGCCCCACACTCCCGTGTTGTGATGTCGAGGGTGCAGGTTGAATCGGAGTGCCAGGTGCTTGAGATTGTGCTTGTTGTGCCCTCGTGAGGTCATTTTGCAGCGATGAGCGTTCTGCCGTCAATGCCGCGATTTCCTCGGAACTTTCGCGCAGCTGTCGCAGCAGATCGTTCAAACGCTCATGCGTGAGGGTGGTGACGTCGATATTTTCAGCCATGACGAAGGGCGTCGGCTCGTCTTAGTCTAGGCGCGGTCGTGGCTGCACGCGTTTACGAGAGAACGCGAGGACAGCGGCTCCTAGGGGCTAAGGTGCGTGAGTCCCTTCGAGTGAAAAATCAAAAGTTGATTTCCTGGTGTGCGGAGATGCGCGGTCCGAAAGAAAGGGGCTCTGATAACCAAGTGTTTCGGGTGCAATGAATCGAAGTAGCGAGAATTGCACTAAGGTGTCAAACGAGTACAAAATGTGAGCGAAGGCATGAGCGAACATTTATACGCGAAACATGCAAAACGGTAACGCGGTGCGTGCGAGCTTGCTAGTGCTACGCTGGAGCGAGGCTCGGGCTAGTCCCGAAGCGTAGGCCGATACGGCCATGCCAGCAGTGCGAGGGTTGGCAAAACAGTGCGCGCGAAGTCAGCGAAGTCCCGTTAGCAGTAATGGGCGAACAACGGCTGTTGCTGTACGCGATGTAGTCGGCTCCGTAAGGAATGCCGAGAAAATTTCTTACACCATTTCAAAAATGATGAATTTCATATGCTAAGATCAGGGCCTCAGATTCGTTTTGGCCTAGGCTGAATCGTCAGCCTTGGGAGTGGGATGAAGGCTGATCAATCAGGGTAGCCTTGAAAAAAAAAACTGAAATTTCAGTGCTTAGTTTCAAATATTGGCTGATCATTCAGCCTTGCTTAAAAACAAAGGCTGAACACAACTTCAAGCTTTCCTATAGCGCAACACGCGACGTGCTGCCAACAGTGCACACGACGTGCCTACACAGCTTCACACACGAAGATACAGTACCTTCTATCGGCAACAACATGGGCGAATCCGAGCTAATTTCCAGTGATTGGGCGAATTTCTGGAAGAAATTGTTGTGCCAGAGCGAAACTTCTTGTGATTGGGCGAAATTGTTGTCGCTTTGACGGGGCGAATCTGTTCTGTAGGGGCAAATTTGCTGTCTCGGGGCGAATCTGTAGTGACGAGTCAAGCTGATTGACTTGCATCCAGAAACCAGAAACTAGATTGCACATTCATTCCATCTGATTGGCCAGGCAGGTTTTTGATTCTCGGCACTACACGAATCTCCACTAGTGGGATTTCAGCCCACACACCCGTTGCAACGCTGATCAGTCAGTGTACACCTCTAAAAAAACTCTGAAATTTCAGACCATACAATGAAAAAAATGCTGAAAAATCAGCCGGTACAATGAAAAAAAAGCTGACAAATCAGCCCCACTTTCTTCCCAGCACTGAAATCTCAGCCTTTTTACCCCTAATCAGCCTTTTTTCGCTGACTTCTGAGGCCCTGGCTAAGATGCTCAAGAAACAGCACCAACCAGCTACAACTCAATGTTTACTACTATCTGCATATTTACATATAAAACTAATAAAATGTATGCCAAACTGGCTACACTTGGAAAGCCTTCTCATCCCACCCGCCTTCCAAACCACCCACACCAGACCATCATTGTCATTCCACAACCATGTAGATCCAAAGCAGCCCACCCACATAGAGCAGGGGCATGGCGACAAGGCAGAGGCCATCGAGGCGAGAGATGAATATCTTGGCACGGTTTGGGTCCTGCTCCACCATGCCCTTGAGATGCCCCGCCTGCGCCACCGTCTCTTGAATGCGCTTCGACAGGTGAGACAGCCCCGCAAACGATTCACTCTCAGAAAGCACACCCCGTCGATTCACCTTCTCTGCTCCCATCTCCGACTCGTTTTCCTGCTCCGTGGGCTGCTGTGACACAGCTTCCCCCTCACTCTCCTGATCCCTCAGACCCCCGCACGGCCGGATCACCGGTGCACATGGCTTGTCACTGCTCACAAGATCACCTGACCGCACTCCACCACTGGCGGTGTGCTGTGGGGGCTTGCTCTCACTCTTACCTGCATCTCCCAGTACACTCCTCTCTGTCACTCGCTCAACCCCTCCCAAACCCTCACCCTCTCTCTTCCCGTCTTTCAACCCCTCCCTTCCTGCCTCCTTCCCTTCCTCGCCACCTTTCCTCCCCCCCGACCCAGCAGCATCCTTGCTGCTTTCCCCGCGCCTCCCCCCACCCTCCCCACCCCCTACCGGTCCCTCCTGTGCGAGCAGCGGCTCAGCAGCAGCAGCAACAATAGAGGCAGAGGGGCGCCAGAGCAAGGAGAGGGCCTGCGGGGACAGGCTAGGCCAGCGTCCTGCAGAGGACAGCCGCACAACGTTGTGACTCCTCCCCGCATTCCCACTCCCACTCCCAACCCCACTCCCGCTCCCACTCCCACTGCCACTCCCACTCCCACTCCCAATCCCACTCGCACCCCCCTTCCCACCCGCGCTCCCGCTCCCACTGGCATGCACATCCCTGCTCCCTGACGCCGCCCTCCCCACAGCGCCCGCAGACCCCATGAGGAGGCGCCTTGTAGCCCGCGCCGCCACCGACTCGTTGTGCTCGCGCGCCGCCGTCTCCCCAATGCAGTACACATAGTTCACTAGCAGCGACTGCAGCACCGCGAAGACTATGAGCGCGTACGACCAGATGATGAACCAGCCCATGATGGTCACGTAGCTGGAGTGCGGCAGCGTGTCAAAGATCACAAACTGGTGCGATGTAAGTGCGAGGAAGAGCGTGACACCCGTGCCCACTCGCAGCTCGAGGTGCTCCGGGGACATGCAGAAGGAGGTCCAGGAGAGGGCCACGGCCAGGAAGGTGGGGAGGAGGAAGAGGAAGAGGTAGTAGTGCCAGATGCGCTGCACGCGAATCACGATCAGCAGAGTCGAGTTGAGCGATGCTGCTGCCAGCTGCTGCTCCCGCTCCTGCCACGCCCTCCACTCGCTGCTCTCCACCCTCCCGCTCCCACACTCCCCCGCCTCTTCCCCCTCCTCCTCCTTCCCCCCCACCTCCTCCCCGCCCTCCTCGCCTTCCCACAGCATGGTGCCGCACGGAGTGCCCCCCCCGCCCAGAGTGGCCCCAGCCAGCTCTTCGGAACGCACACAGAACACCTCGTCCGCATGGGGCTCCTCCACCCACTGCATCATGCGCCCTACGTGCGTCGCCTGCGCCTGCACGTACACGCTCTCCACCTGCCACCCCGACAGGTCGTCCGGGCCGCTGCCGTCGTCCCTCCTGACCCGCCCCCGCCGCACGCGACTCCTGCTCGCCCCGTCCGCCCCGCTCTGCTCGCCCCGCCGCCCCATGCTGCCTCTGCTGCTGCCAGAGGTGACTGAGGGGGAGGCGCTGTCGTGAAGATGCGATGGGGCATGGGCGGATGGCAGCAGGGAGCGCGGGCGACGGATGGCGGCGGCGCTGGGCACGAAGGAGTAGCAGCAGCTCTCCGCCCACAGCTCCACCACCAGCTGCTGCCTGCACTCCACGCACCACAAGGGGGCGAGCCGGGGGGCATGGAAGGGACGAGGGGGCGGAAGTGAAAGGATATGAGCGAGAAAGGGGTCATGCGAGCATTGCATGACAAAAGCTCAAAATTCAGCTTGCGAATTCCAGACAGGCTTCAGAATTGGGCGCATTGCCTCATAAGCCTCGTAGCCATCCCTTCCCCCATATCGTAACACCTTGTGTGTTCCACCGCTACCCTTCCTGCACCCTGCCATGGCTCACGTGTCGAAGGGGTAGCGGTGGAAGCGCAGCGCGGCGTGGAAGGTGGCGCGCAGGCGGCGCCCCCAGCGCACGTTGCTGTGGTTGCCGGGCTGCAGCGCGATCGCCTCCCACTCCGTGCGCTCGTCTTCTAGCGACAGCAGGTTCCCGCCCATCACGCCCGGCAGCCACAACGAGTCGCAGCACAGGGACCGCCCCTTGGCGCACACGCGCGCGCACGCGGACGGATTCCCCGCCAGGAAGGTCTCTGCAGTGCGCCGGCGGATCTCGAGTGGCGCGCGCGGGTCGTGCCACGACATGCGCAGGTGCACGATCGCCTCGAACTGGTACCGCTCGTCGTCCACCTGCGCGCGGTGGGGGAGGGGGGGGCAGGGGGAGAGGGGGAGGGGGGGTGGTGGCGGGGGGGCGAAGAGGGAGGGGGGGCGAAGAGGAAAGGGGGGGAAGAGGGGAGGGGGTCCGAGAGGTTGGCAGACGCGGGGAGAGGACGCGGACATGGAGGAGAGGCTGGAGCGCGGCGCATGGTGCATAGCCGAGTGAAAACTGTCCACGCAACGCAACGCCACGACCAGGAAAAAAAGATGCGCGGCGCAGTAACGCGCGCAGGGCGGTGCGCGCGCGGTGTGTCTCACATCAAGCAGCTTGTTCAGCACCACCGACACGAACACCGGAGTGTACGCCGCGCGCACCGCGGGCTCCCCTCCCCCCGCGCTCGCGCACGTCCCCCCGCCCTCCATCTGCAGCGCGCGGCGCTCCCCCTGCCCATTGCGACCCGGTGGCGTCAGCAGCGTCGGGTAAGGCGCGAGCCCCTGGCCGGATAGCGGCGACTGGCTCTGCGCGAGAGACGGCGGGAGATGCGGGGCGGCGAGTAGCAGGAGCAGGAGGAGCGGAGCGAGGCGCGGAAGGGAGGGAAGGCGCAAGGAGCAGGGCGGAGAGGAAAGCCTGCGCGCAAGGAGCATAGCGGGAGGAGGATCAAGAAACGCAAGAGGGCGAGCGCAAGCGCGGGGGCAAGCGCGAGGAAAGAGAATAACGACTAGGGAAGGAACGCGCGCGCACGCGAGCGGGACCGTGGGATTGTCGCAGTGAGGGCAGGACTAACGGCGGGCAGACTAATGGACGCATGCGCTGGTGAATGCGGTGAATGGTGACTATTGAGGTGATCGGTGAAGCGGAGGTCGGAGGGAGCGAGGGAGTAGGTAGGTAGGCACTAGGTACACGCGATGGCCGCCATGTATGCCAATTGACTGCTAATCCCCGTTACAAGTGATCAGAGTTTATAGGATAACTATTCTGGTCGAAAACGCACCCTCGACCATACAACAAGAAAACACTGCAATTCATTGGAAAATATATCCAACAAGCTACTGTACTGGCTGACAGAACCCGTTTTGACAGAACGGGATGGACAGCTGGGAGTGGCAGGGCAAGCTTGCAGTGCACAGCGATGAGATGCTCCAGTAGAATCGACTCCCTACCAAACCCATGCGCAGGCGCGCTGCTTGTCGAGGCGTTGCGGCGGTGTCCCACTGGGGAACCACAAGGAGTGGTTCTCTACTTCTCATCATCACACTGCCACGCCCTTCTCTACCTCCATGGCTTTGCTTTGCTGCCATATCTGACAGCGGCCAGGTGCTACCTACTGCATGCTACGTGCTACATGCTAAGTGCAAGGTGTGGTATTGCAGGCAGGCAGTGCCGTCCTGCGGCACATCTCAGTTGCGCTGCACTGCGGTGTTCATGTGAGCATCTGGCATCTTGCTGTTGACGTGCGCAGTGCACACAACACAGGGAAGTCTTAATTCTGGCGCGCCTTGAAAGGCGTGTGCGAGTGGGGTGGTGTGAGGGTGACGTCACGTGCGCAGAGGGCGAGCAGGCTCCGCCACCTGCACATTGAGAGGACAGAAAAACTGCATCAACAACTCAACCATGACGCTTCCCCGCACACACAAACATGAGTGGGTGCCAAGGGTGGTTGCGCGTGCATGGGGGTGCATGTGCGTGAGCGTGCACGTGGGCGTGCATGCATGTGCCCGCAGGTGCAACACGAAGCAAGCAGAGCAGGGCAGAGCAGAGCGAGGGTCTCCCCAGCAGGACACGGACCGGCACAGCAGAGGCGGCGTTGGCAGTGGGAGCGGATGGCAGGAAGAGGTCGGGCTCGGCCTCGAGCGTGTTGGGCTCCGTGTCCGGCAGGAGGTACGAGGGCGTGGCGTCCGCTGTCTCCACTCCCATGTCCGCCTCCAATGCATCTAGCTCTGATGCCGTTGTTGGCATGCCATGCACAGCGGCACCAAGGGGGTGAGTTGGCGGATACATCAAGGGAGGGGACAGGGAGGAGGAAGGTGGAGGGCGGAGTGGGGAGGGGGAGGGGAAAGGGAGGAGGGGGAAGGGAGGAAAGGGAAGTGAGGGAGGGGAAGGGAGCAGGATGAACGGAGCAGGCGTAACAGAGCAGGACGGGAGGATGGGGAAGCGGTAAGGCGAGAATGAGCTGGGAGGGAGCGGGAACAGCATAAGCACAAGTGCAGGTGCACCAGCACGCGGCAGGATCAAGTACTTTCATTTTGCACTGAATCCCTCCCTCCACTGCCCATGTCCATCATAACTTCACGTTCTTCATCCCAGGCAATCCCATGCCACCCCATGCCATCCCCATACCCTCCCATCCCACCCCACGGCATCCCACGGCAACCCCCAGCGCACCGCCGAGTAGCTCGTCCTCGTCAATGTCATCGGGCACGCCGTACGACTGGCCGAGCGCCTGCTGGATCTCGTTGCTGTAGTCCATCAGGTCGAACATGTCGTCCTGCATGCTCTGTCACATGCCACGCCGGGGCACGGGCGACAGACAGCACAGGCATCACGCAACGGAGGGGTGCCGTGGTAGGGAGTAGGTGATTAGAGAGTCTCCTTGGTCAGGTGAGAGGCGGGTTTTTCTAATCAAGAATAACTCCTTGCATACACAAATCTCCTGAACAGTATTTTCCCTGTGGACAGGGGTGGCATTTGAGGCATGTGTGGCTCGCTGCCTGCTGCACTTGTGGACGGAGAACGATTAGGTGCAGGAACGGCAGCGAATGAAGCGAGCAACACGGGGAGGGGGAGAACGATTAGGTGGCGCAGAACGGAGGTGTGGGAAGCGAGGAACGCGCAGCAGCAGCAGGGCGTGTGTGTGTGTGCGCGTGTGCAATGCGATGGTCACAGCACGGCGCAGTGCGGTGCTGTGCGGTGCAGTGCAACACTCACATCGATGTCCTCAATCTTGACGGACTTCATCTGCGTCTTGAGCTCCTTGTTGGCCGCCTTCATGGCCGCCACCTGCCACGCCCACCAACCAGTGCGCGGTGAGGGGGCATGGAGACGAGGACGGGTGAGTGATTCAATGGGGGAAAAGTGGGGGGAGGAGAAGTGGGGGCGTGGGAGCACACAGAGGAAAGGGAAGCATGGATGAGGGTGAGCTTGCACGTGAAATTAGGAGTTAAATATTGCTGCCATCCTCTACGCCACAGCAAGTCTTGAGGTCCGTGTGGCATGAATGGGCTCTTTGCAGGCATGGCGGGGGCAGGCATGGCGGGGGCAGGCATGGCGGGGGCAGGCATGGCGGGGGCAGGCATGGCGGGGGCAGGCATGGCGGAGGCAGGCATGGCGGGGGCACGCATGGCGGGGGCACGCATGGCGGGGGCACGCATGGCGGGGGCAGGCATGGCGGGGGCACGCATGGCGGGGGCAGGCATGGCGGGGGCAGGCATGGCGGGGGCAGGCATGGCGGGGGCACGCATGGCGGGGGCAGGCATGGCGGGGGCAGGCATGGCGGGGGCAGGCATGGCGGGGGCAGGCATGGCGGGGGCAGGCATGGCGGGGGCAGGCATGGCGGGGGCACGCATGGCGGGGGCACGCATGGCGGGGGCAGGCATGGCGGGGGCACGCATGGCGGGGGCACGCATGGCGGGGGCACGCATGGCGGGGGCACGCATGGCGGGGGCACGCATGGCGGGGGCACGCATGGCGGGGGCAGGCATGGCGGGGGCAGGCATGGCGGGGGCAGGCATGGCGGGGGCAGGCATGGCGGGGGCAGGCATGGCGGGGGCAGGCATGGCGGGGGCAGGCATGGCGGGGGCAGGCATGGCGGGGGCAGGCATGGCGGGGGCAGGCGTGGCGGGGGCAGGCGTGGCGGGGGCAGGCATGGCGGGGGCAGGCATGGCGGGGGCAGGCATGGCGGGGGCACGCATGGCGGGGGCAGGCATGGCGGGGGCACGCATGGCGGGGGCACGCATGGCGGGGGCACGCATGGCGGGGGCACGCATGGCGGGGGCAGGCATGGCGGGGGCAGGCATGGCGGGGGCAGGCATGGCGGGGGCAGGCATGGCGGGGGCAGGCATGGCGGGGGCAGGCATGGCGGGGGCAGGCATGGCGGGGGCAGGCATGGCGGGGGCAGGCATGGCGGAGGCAAGCACGTGGTGGTACTGACAGTGGCCTGCGCGTCCTTGATGCCCTCCTGTGCGAACGCCACTTGCTCCACGTTGAAGCTCTGGTTGTACAGGTTGTCCCTCTGCCCCTCCAACCTGCCACCCGCCACCCATGCGCCATGCGCCATGCGCCATGCGCCATGCGAAACGTGCAGCACAACGTGCACATGCAAGGAGGAGAGGGATGATAGCAGTGAGAGCACGGTAGCAGACGAGAGAGGAGGTACTGAGTAGACGAGTATCCATCTCCACGCACACTGGGACACACACGCACACGCCAACAGACGCCACAACGTGAGAAGAGAACCACCCGCACGCCATCCACGCCCTATGAATGCACGCCCTATGAATGCACGCCCTATGAACCACGCCCCGTGCACCACGGCGTGTAATACTCACATCTTCTTCTGCTTCAGCACGCGCATGGCTCGCGCCTTGAGCGCCTCCTGCGCCGGCCCGGGCCGCGTGCGCTTGATCTGGTCGCGGTACCGCACCAACTCCGCCTCTAGCTTGCGAATCTTCTCGTCCAACGAGTCGCCGCGCGCATTGATCTGGCACGGACACACGTGGCGCGGCGCGGCATCGTGGAGAGGGTGCAGGGTGGGTTGGTGAGCAAGATGACAGGTCAATGGCACGTGACGACAAGACACGCACGGAGATGGTGTGAAAGAGAGAGAGGGCGACGATGATAGAGGTGCAGGGATGTGGTGACACGAGGGGCAAAGAAGACGAACGAATTCAAATATCAGGGGGAGAAGCAAGAAAAAAAGAAGGGCAGGCAGCGATAGAGGGAAAGGAGAGCAGGCGAGGGCGAGAGAGAAAGGAAGGGCGACGTGGGTCCCGCGCGGGCGAAGCTTGTCCTTACTCTTTCTGACGCTTCCGTGAGGCTCGGTGCCGGCGTCTTCTCTTTTTTCACGCCGAATATGCGATTCATCTCGACTCTACGTTCAAGTTATGTGATGATAAGTGCACGTCGGCTGGAAGACCGCGACGCGAGAAGGAAGGTGCCTTCACGAGACTACAATCTGCTCACTGGAATCCGAATAACGTAGGTGGCTATTCTGTTCGGATGGTTCGAGGGAGGAATTCTAGCTCAATTGGTAAACTAAACGTCACTAAACGCGCGGAGAAAGAAGGGCGGTGATTGGACGCCCGCTGACGGTGAGACGAGAGCGCGGAAAACTGGATGTGCGGTGGTGGAGCGGCCGCAGGAACAACTGCCTTATAAGCGAGAGGCAGGGGACTGTCACAAGTGATAACCAGTTTTCTGTGACAGGCGCGCTGGAGCAAGAAGAGAGAAGTGATGGGAGGAGGTGGTGGTGGGGACTAGTGGGGTGGGGAGTCATGAATCCCAGAAGTGGCACGGATTGGGATTGGGGATTTGGACGGAGATGAAAGTGGAGGGTGGGAGGGCAGGGAGGGAGTACGTGGTGCTTCCACGCAGGTCACGAGTGCCGTGTGCGAGGTTGAGCATATCATTTGCTTACTGTACCGCCCCAAATCGAACAGCACCGACAACTTGTATCCCTACTTCAGATGCTCATCTCTAGAAGTGTAAGGAATTTTCCTGAATTCCTTGGGGTTGACTGCTTCGTGTACAGCCCCAATTTTCGGACTTAGCACGTTCGGCCGATCTCAACGCTGCCGAGGCTCCTCGCGTCGCCTTCGGCATTCCCCGTCGCCAAACCTGCACCCAACCTCGCTTGTCCGAGGTTCCCTCCTAGCTAGGCTAGCTCCTACATTGAATTCTCAGTTCATTCAATCACAGCCTCGTTATTCTTTTACCTGCGCACTCTCCTTTAAACTCATAATACCTGGTATCAGAGCTACTTTCCTAGTTCACCCCGCTTTTCCGAGGGTAGTTTGGTGGCACGGGTGTGGCTGGTTTAGTGACTACACGACGGTTGGCTGCAGAGACTGTTAATTCAATCCTGCCTGACTCCGATAGTTCGTGTTTTCACTTGCCTGAAGGCCACGAAGACCCGATTGCCCACCAGACGCAGCGCTGGGTACGTGGAGCAGGAGGCGGTTAACAGACTGATGGCGCAAGTGGCAGAAATGCAGAAGGGCATGGAGTCATAAATGTCAAACATATCTATGTATGTTATAATACTGGGTAGGCTGTAGTCGGGTAGACTATTTGGGGTACAACCCCTTAGGGTTCTCCCTTGTACCAAAATCACTCGACATTCTAGTCACTTCTCTCTCATGCCTAAGTTTCTAAGATGGTATCTAGAGCATAGGTCTTTAGGACCTACGATTAGGGCCCACCGGTTACCACGTTACCTCACCTACGGCCTTGCCTGCCTGCCTGCCTTGCCTGTTGCCCGCGCGCGCCTCGGCTGCACGCGCACGGCCCCCCCTTTTTTTTTCCGCGCACGCCGCTTTAGCAGCCCGCGCAGCCCGTTTTCGGCCCCGCGCGCCGCGTCAGCCGCCCGCGCAGACTGCTGCCGGCCCGGGCGACGCTTAGGCCGCCAGCGTGCAGCCCGCTTAGGCCCCGCCCGTACAACCCGCCGCCGCACGCAGCCCGCAGCCGCGCGCAGCCCGCAGCCGCGCGCAGCCCGTCGCCACGCGCAGCCAGCAGCCGCGCGCAGCCCACAGCCGCGCGCAGCCCGCAGCCGCACGTGCCCTGCCCGTGTGACGCCCGTGAGCCGCGCGCCTGCCTGTCTTAGCCTGCCTTGAACGCCTGCCTTGAGCGCCTGCCTTGAGCGCCTGTCTTGAGCGCCTGCCTAGAGTGCCTGCCTGCAAAAAGCGCCTGTCTGCCTTGAGCGCCTGCCTGCCTTGAGCGCCTGCCTGCCAAGAGCGCCTGCCTGCCTTGAGCGCCTGCCTGCCAAGAGCGCCTGCCTGCCTTGAGCGCCTGCCTGCCTTGAGCACCTGCCTGCCTGCCTTGAGCGCCTGCCTGCCAACCGCGCGTTTACTTGCCCTGCGCGCCATCTCCGCTACCTTGCTTGCACTGCTACTATGGCGACGCTTAATGTGCCCGCGTTCGATCCTGACGGTCGTCCAGTAGAGTTCGCCACCTGGCTTGACGACCTGCAACTGTTCCTCCTGACTGATGCCAAGGACGGTGTTTCCCTGTTCGATTACGTGTCTGGCACTGCCGTTGCTCCTGCTGACACTGAGCCTGCTCTAGACCGCTCCCAGTGGCAGACCCGCAATGCTGCTGCACGCCTAGCTATTCGCAACCATCTGCCGATCACAGAGCGCGCGCATTTTAGCCAGCACAAGACTGCCAAGGCACTGTACGATGCTGTAGTTGCCCGCTACTCTTCCCCGGCCACTGCAGCCCTAGGTCGGCTTATGCTACCCTACCTGTTCCCCGACCTGTCTTCGTTTACCACCGCTGAGGACCTCATCTCGCACCTACGCGCTTGTGACACTCGCCTTCGTGCCGCCCTTCCAGCCGAGTTCCTCGCAAAGAACCACCCCCCGATGTACTTTACTCTCTATTTCCTCATCACCCGCCTCCCTGACACTCTTCGCTCAGCCAGGGACCATTTCCTCGCCCTTGACCCCCATTCTCTCACTGTCGACGGCCTCGAGAAGCACCTCCTAGCAGCCGAGAAGAACATTCTAGCTCTATTTGCTGCTCGTGGTACTCCCCGCACTCCCCTCTCTGAGGGGTGCTCCCCCTCCCCTCTTACCCCCTCCTACGCCTCCGCAGCTGCTGCTGTCGACCTCCTTGGTGCTGAGAAGGTCGCAGCTACTTCCGCTCCGACTGGGAAGCGCAGTGGCAGGGGTGGCGGACGTGGCGGTGGAGGGGGCGGTGGTGGAGGCGGCGGGGGCGGTGGGGGTGGTGGCGGTGGTCGTGGGGGTGGAGGTAGTGGTGGGGGCGGTGGTGGTGCCGGGAACAGTGGCGGTGGCAGCGGCGGTGGTGGCGGAGGGGGGAGTGGTGGTGGTGGCGGTGGTGGGGGCTTGGGTGACGCCGGTGGTGGCCAGGGTCAGCAGCAGCAGCAGCAGCGTCAGCGCCAGACCCCCACTTCCCAGCAGCTTCTTGACTGGTATGCCGGGCGTGGGGCGTCTAGGGGTCCTGGTCGCTGCCCCTATATCATTCGCACAGGTCCCCGCGCTGGTCGCCAGTGCACAGGGTTTCACAATAAGTACCGCTGCTTCGCTCGGCTCAGCGACGCCTGGCGCGTCAAGTATCCTGATGCTCCTAAGTTCCCCAACTGGGCAGACCTGCTTAGGCGTGATGTACCTATTTTGATCTTGACTATGAGACTATTCTTGCTGCTATGTATGCATTGACTGTTAGTGCTGAGGGTGACTGCTACTTGTGTGTGGCGCCTGACCCCGGTATAGCCCCAGGTATAGCGCCTGTGGCACTAGGTGCTTGTGAGTCTGTTCCCCCTGGTACTGCGTCCGCACAGGCCTTGCACACCTTCACACTTGACTTTGGTGCTTCCCGCTGTTTCTTTCGCGACAGCACCATAGTCACTCCCCTCCCTACACCTGTTCCTGTCTCACTGGCTGACCCCTCTGGGGGCCCAGTGCTTGCTCGGTCTTCCACTGTGCTTCCGTGTCCGGCGGTCCCGTCTGGTGAGCTGTCTGGTCTCCACCTCCCCTCGTTCTCTACGAACTTGGTGAGCATTGCCGTCCTTCAGGATCACTGGGTTGACACCTTTACTCCTGGAGGACAGCGTGTGGCGACGTGCACGTGCTCCCGGACCGGCCGTCACCTGGCCACGTTCACACGTGCGCCTGGGTCCAGTCTGTACACCCTCACCACTACGTCGTGCTCCACCCCTTTGTCTCCCCACCTGTACGCGTCTGCTCAGGTAGCTACCCAGTGTGAGTGTCGCCGGCTGTCGCACAACACTCTCCTGTGGCACCACCGCCTTGGTCACCCCTCCCTGCCTCGCCTTCGTAGCATGCACTCTCGCTTCCCGGTCTCTAACCTTCCCAGGTCTCTGCCTGCCCTCCCTCCCTCGCCTGCGCCACCCTGCATTCCTTGCGTCGAGGGGCGGTAGCGCGCCGCTCCTCACTCCTCCACGTTCCCTCCCACAGAGGCTCCACTGCAGACTCTCCACCTGGACGTGTGGGGCCCAGCCTGCGTCCGTGGACAGGGCCACGAGCGGTACTTCCTGCTGGTCGTCGACGACTACACGCGTTACACCACGGTCTTCCCCTTGCAGCGCAAGGGGGAGGTCCCTAATGTTTTGATCCCATGGATCCGCGCTGTTTGTCTCCAGCTCCGTGAGCGGTTCCACTCGGACTTTCCTGTCCTGCGTCTGCACTCTAACAGGGGTGGTAAGTTCTCCTCAGACCTCTTGGCAGCCTTCTGTGCGGAGCACGGCATCCGCCAGATGTTCACGCTTCCGGCCTCTCCGCAGCAGAATGGGGTTGCTGAGCACTGCATTGGCTTAGTCATGGAGGTCGCTCGTACCTCCATGATCCATGCGGCTGCCCCCCATTTTCTGTGGCCATTTGCGGTCCGATATGCCGCGCATCAGCTCAACCTCTGGCCCCGTGTCTCCTTGCCGGAGACCTCGCCCATACTGCTGTGCACGGGGAAGGGTGGCGATGCGTCGCGTTTCCGGGTCTGGGGTGCTCATGTCTTTGTCCGCGATACCACCGCGGACAAGCTCTCCGCTCACGCCATTCCCTGCGTCTTCCTTGGCTTTGTCCCTGACGCGCCTGGCTGGCAGTTTTACGACCCCGCCTTGCGCCGTGTCTTTCCGTCTCAGGACGTCACCTTTGATGAGTTTGTTTTCTTTTACCGTCTCTTTCCCTATCGCACTGCCCCTCGCCCCCCCCGCCGCTCTTTCTCGCCCCAGGTCCTCCCCAGGTAGACCCCCTCCCCGCGCCAAGTCCTGCTCCTTCAGGTGTTTCTCAGGTAGACCCTCCCGTGCCTGCGCTTGTTGAGGTCACTGGTGACTCAGGTCCTGCTGGGGGTGGTGCTGTCTGTGGGGGTGCTGAGCCTGGGGGTGCGGAGCTTGTGGGTGCTGAGCCTGGGGGTGCGGAGCTTGGGGGTGCTGAGCCTGGGGGTGCGGAGCCTGCGCGTGAGGACCCAGGAGGTACTGAGCCGAGGAGTGCAGAGTCTGGGGGCGCTGAGCCTGAGCGTGAGGAGCCTGGAGGTGCTGAGCCTGCACGTGAGGAGCCTGGAGGTCCTGAGCCTGGGGGTGCTGTGTCTGGAGGTGCTGAGCCCGGGCGAGAGGAGCTTGGGGGTACTGAGTCTGGGGGTGCGACGCCAGAGGTTCTGAGTCTGCTGCTGCGTGGTCTCCTTGGAGTAGCCGCCTTCGTCCGCGTGTGCCTCTCACCTCACAGCAGCTGCACGACTGATACGGTCGCCATCACAGTCGCGCTTCTGGAGCTCGGGGCTCTGCTGCTGGAGGTACTTCTGCTGACGTCACTGGAGTTGGGAGTGGTGCTGATCCTTTGTCTACTGGAGGTGCTGGAGTCGCTGGTCCCGGAGATACTCGAACTGGAGGTACTGGAGCTGCTGTGGCTGGAGGTACTGTGTCTGAGGTTGCTACTGCTGGAGACCCTGGGTCTAGGGGTGCAGCTGCTGGAGGTGCTGGAGCTGCTAAGGGTTCTAGAGCTGCTGGAGGTGCTGGAGCTGCCGAGGGTACTGGAGCTGCTGGAGGTGCTGGAGCTGCTGAGGGTACTAGAGCTGCTGGAGGTGTTGGAGCTGCTAGTGCTGGTGGCACTACACAGCCGCGCCTGTTCTTCGCTCCGCCGTCTCCGTCGTCTCAGCCACCGCCTGACTCTGCGCTTCACCACGTTCTCAGTCTCCCTTCGTCTACTGGTCTTCCGTTACAGCCTGGCTCCCCGCTGCTTGCTCCTTCTCCTTACACTGAGCAGACAGGGGGCCTTGCTGAGCATCGTGAGCCTACGTCGCGTCCTGTCTCGCCTGTCCATTCTGGTCGTTCCGGTCGTCGTGTTCCTCGTTCGCGTCAGCCGGCTGTCCCCGGCACCCACCTTGTTGTCCGTCGTCCTTCCTCTCCTCCGCAGCGTGTTCCTCTGCCTTCTCCCTCTGCGTCCTCTCTGCCTGACGTTGCGGACCCTGAGTCTGACCAGTTTTGTACTGAGCACCCTACTGTCACGCGTCTGTTAGCCACTGTGGTCACTGACCCGTCGTTTGAGTCCACTGCTGCGTCTGCCCTAGTCGCTGAGCTTGTCGACTTTGCTCCTGCCTGTCGTCTAGACTACGCTGCTAGTCTTATTGTTGAGTCTAAATCTGTTTGTCCTCCGTCCGTTGGGGGTGAGTGTGCTCTTAGCACGGACGTCCTTGAGGACAGGCACGAGGACCTTGAGTGTCTTGCAACCGCTGCGCCTCATCTCGTGGCCATGCTGCTTGCCCCTGAGGGAGACACGGATGCACCAAACATCCTGACCCCGCGCTCTTACGCTCAGGCGATCGCGGGTGAGTACTCTTCTCAGTGGCAGACATCCATGGACGCAGAGATGGCATTATGGAAGTCCACATGCACCTACGTCGATGAGGTTCCCCCTCCCGAGGCGAACATCGTCGACGGCATGTGGATTTTCAAGGTGAAGCGGCCGCCAGGTTCTCCGCCTGTCTTCAAGGCTCGTTACGTTGCTCGAGGCTTCAGTCAGCGAGAGGGAGTTGACTTCTTTCAGACCTTCTCTCCCACCCCAAAGATGACCACTCTTCGGGTGCTGCTGCACGTTGCCGCTCAGCGTGAATACGAGCTTCACTCTCTTTACTTCAGCACAACTTTCTTACAGGGTAGCCTGCACGAGGAGATTAGGCTGCACCGCCCACCTGGCTTTACTCGGTCGTTCCCTCCTGGTACCTAGTGGAGCCTCCAGCGGCCGGTCTACGACCTTCGCCAGGCGTCGCGTGAGTGGCATGACACACTGAGGACGACACTTGCGGCTCTTGGGTTCGCTCCTTCGACTGCTGATTCGTCGCTGTTTCTGCGCACCGACACTTCGCTGCCACCGTTCTACATCCTCGTGTACGTCAA